TAATTACCCATTCTTATATAAATCTCGAAATTAAGGGCTAGGGTGTATAATCTTACCTCTAGGATGAAGACCTAGTGAGTTTTCCTTATTAATCTTCAAAGATTCAAGCAAGATTTGAAGAACAATCATTGAATATCACTCTCCCACTCTAGGGCACTCCCTCACCCTCAAAATATCAAACGATTAGCTCAAAAGTGGTACAAATCGTCTATTTAACAAAATAGGGTCGGGTTATAAAAACCCAAAAATGAAGCTTCGAAACAGGGTATGCGGTCGCATATGCGACTGCATAATGCTTATGCGGTCCGCAGAATAAGCCGCATTATTGCCCTCCAGAACTGGGAAAATCTTACTTGGTTTGCGGTCATTATGCGGCCCACAGACCTGTTCTGCGATAACATAATGTGCCGCAGAACCTTCCTCTGAAAAATCTCAAAGCTGCATAACCCGCGAAATGGTTTTGCGGTCGCATAATGGGCCGCGAAAATGACATAAAAATGGCCCAAAAGACTATCTCAATCTGCGATCATTATGCGGTCTGCAGAGTGGTTCTGCGGCCGCATAGTGGGCCGCAAAAGTGCATTTCTTCTACCCAAATTTTTTTTCTTTACTTTCAAGTGCATTGTTCAACCCAAAAAGTCCGAGCCGCGGTTCGCACCACGAAATATTATTTTTCTTTGCGAAATCTTACGGGGCCTTACGGAAACAATAGTCACCACCTCGCCATGACCGTTACTTGATTTTTGGTGTTTTAGGGCCATAAAACTAGAATTCTGCTTTATTCCCAAATTTTCGTGTGCTCCTTCTGCATGGGCCCGGGCTGCTGGACCCAGACCGCCAAATTTTTTGCTGGATCATCAAAAATGACCTAAGGAATAATAGTCACCGCCTCGCCATGACCGTTACTCATTTTTTGGCATTTTAGGTCATAAAACTAGAATTTTGCCCGATTCCTAGATTTTCGTATGCTATAACCTACGCCTTTTGCATGGGCCTGGGCCACCGGACCCGGATCGACTAAAATTTTGTCGGACCATAAATAATGACATAAGGAATAATAGTCACTGCGTCGCCATAATCGTTCCTCATTTTTTGGCGTTTTAGGACCATAAAACTAGTATTCTGCCTGGTTCCAAGACTTTCACGTGCTATAGCCCACGCCTGCTACATGGGTGTGGGCCACCGGATCCGGACCACCTAAAATTTTGCTGAACTATCAAAAACTACCTAAGGAATAATAGTCACCGTCTCTTTATGACCGTTCCTCGTTTGTGGCGTTTTAGTGCCATAAAACTTAAATTTCGTCAGATCCCCAGATTTTCATGTATTATAGCCCACGCCTTTGGCATGGGCCCGAGCTACCTAAAATTTTATCGAACCGTAAAAAATGACCTAAGGAACAATATTCATTACCTCGCCATGACCGTTACTCATTTTTTGATGTTTTAGGGCCATAAAATTTGAATTTCATCTGATTCCCATATTTTCATTTACTATAGCCCACACCTTCTGCATGGGTCCGGGCCACCGAACCCGAACATCCTAAAATTCTGTCGGACCATTAAAACGGCCGATGGAACTATAGTCACCGCATCGCCATGACCGTTACTTATTTTTTGGCATTTTAGGGCCATAAAACTGGAATTTCACCCGATTTTCAGATTTTCGTGTGCTATAGCCCACACCTTTTGCAAGGGCCCGGGCCACTAGACCCAGAATGCCTAAAATTTTGCCGGACCATAAAGAGCGACCTATGGAACAATAGTCACTGCCTCGCCATAACGTTTCTCATTTGTTGGCATTTTAGGGCCATAAAACTGGAATTTCGCCTGATTCCCAAATTTTCGCGTGCTATAGGCCACTCCTTGTGCATGGGCTCAGGCCACCGGACCTGGACCGCCTAAAATTTTGTCGGACCATCAAAAAATACCTAAGGAACAACAATCACCGCCTCGCCGTGACCGTTACTCGTGTTTTGGCTTTTTAGGGCTATAAAACTGAAATTCGACCCGATTCCCAAATTTTCATGTGCTATATCCCACATCTTTTGCATGGGCCCGGGCCACTGGACCCAGACCGCCTAAAATTTTGTCGGACCATAAAAAACGAACTAAGGAACTATAGTCATTGCCTTGCCATGACCATTCCTCATTTTTGGAGTTTTAAGGCCATAAAACTTGAATTCCGCCTGATTCCCAAATTTTTATGTGCTATATTCCACGCCTTCAACTTGGGCCCAGGCCACCAGACCCAGACCGTCTAAAATTTTGTCGGGCTATCAAAAATGAACTGAGGAACAATAGTCACCGCCTCGCTATGATCGTTCCTCGTATTTTAGCGTTTTAGGGCCATAAAACTTTAATTCTGCTCGATTCCTATTTTTTCGTGTGCTATAGCCCACGCCTTATATATGGCCCGGGCCACCGGACTCGGACTGCCAAAAAATATTGCCGGACCATCAAAAACGACCTAAGAAACAATAGTCACTGCCTCGCCATGATCGTTACTCATTTTTTGGCGTTTTAGGACCATAAAACTAGAATTACGCGTGATTCTCTAATTTTTGTGTGCGCCTTCTGCATGGGCCCGGGCCAGCGGACCCGGACCGCCTAAAATTTTGTCGGACCATAAAAAAATAACCTATGTAATAATAGTCATTGCCTGATTATTATTCCTTAGGTCATTTTCGACTATTATTCCTTAGGTCATTTTTATGGTCCACAAACTTTAGTAGATTCAGAGCCGGTCGCTAGAATTCATACAGATTGCGTGGATTACATCATAAGAAAATCTAGGAATCGTCTTGAATTCCTATATTTTAGCCCTAAAACGCCAAAAATGAGGAATGGTCATGGGGAAGTGATGATTATTATTCATTAGATTATTTTTATGGGCTCGTAAAATTTTAGGCGATTCGGATCCGGTCTCCCGAATTCATGCAGATGGCGTAGACTATAGCACACGAAAATCTGAAAATCGTCTGGAATTCGTGTTTATGGCACTAAAATGCCAAAAAATGAGGAACAGTCATGGCGAAGCAATGACTATTGTTCATTAGGTCATTTTTATGAGCTCTCAAAATTTTAGGAGATTCGAAGTCGGTCGCCTGAATTCATGCATATGGTGTGGACGTACATGAAAATTTGGAAATCGTCCTAAATTGTTGTTTTATGGCTCTAAAAAGTCAAAAAGAAGGAACGGTCATTGCGAAACGATGACTATTGTTCATTAGGTCATTTTATGGGCCCGTAAAATTTTAGGAGTTTCGGGACCGGACGCACTAATATGCAGATGGCAGCAAAAGAAAATTCGAGAATCGTCTTGAATTCCTGTTTTATGACCCTAAAATGCCAAAAAATGAAGAACGGTCTGAAAATTGTTCATTAGGTCATTTTTATGGGGCCATTAAATTTTAGGAGATTCGGGCCTGGTTTCCCGAATTCATGCAGATGGCGTGGACTATAGCATACTAAAATTCGGGAATCGTCCTGAATTCCTCTTTTATGGTTCTAAAACGCAAAAAATGAGGAACTGTCATGGCAAAGTGATGACTGTTATTCATTAGGTAGTTTTTGGTGGGCACAAAAAATTTTAGGAGATTCGGAGCCGGTTGCCCGAATTCATGCAGATGGCATGGACTATAGCACACGAAAATCTAGGGATCGTCCTGAATTCCTGTTTTATGGCCCTAAAACGCCAAAAAATGAGAAACGGTTATGACCAAGATATGACTATTGTTCATTAGATCGTTTTATATGGGCCCACAAAATTTAAGAATATTCGGAGACGGTCGCCCGAATTCATGCTGATGGCGTGGACTGGCACACGAAAATCTGGGAATCGTCCTGAATTCCTGTTTTATGGTCCTAAAACGCCGAAAAATAAGGAACGATCATAGCGAAACGATGACTATTGTTCATTAGGTTTTTTTTTATGTGCCCGTAAATTTTTAGTAAATTCGTGCTAGCCAAAATCTCTATCCAGCCCCAAAGACTTAAATCTAGTAATAAGAACCACATGATGTATGCATTAGATGTACATTACGGGTCCGAACTCTACAATAGACAAAACTCTGTAGTTAAGTAAAGAATGATTAAGAGTAGCCAACAACTATCAATCATCGAGTTTCTAGCAGTACTTAATGGTATGATCAGTGGTCAAGTGAGCACAGTTATTTGTAGGAGTGTTGGTCGGTACGGTACAATATTTAGACATTTTGATTTGGTATTTTCGGTATTCGATTTCTTAAAATGCAATATCAATACCGTACCTAATTAAATTCGGTATGGTTTGGTTTTTCTCTTTTCGGTTTCGGTTTGGTAACTTCGATTTATTCGGTTTGAATACTAACTAGTGCATAGAAGCACATACTGTAATATTCTAAATTAAAGTACTCAAAAATACAAAACTAAAAATATTTGTTGACAAAAGTTTTGTCTAAAACTAGCAAATATCAACCCAGAGAGAGAAAACTATATATAAATGAATAAATTTGATCATTAGAAATGTCTTGTTACTTTTTAGAGTTAACTGATGAACTTAGAGAATAAAGAAAAGTAAAATTTTAAATTTTTATATTTATGTTATAACTAATAATATGTGTATTGTGTAATATAATATATATTTCGGTACGGTATCGGTATTTCGGTATTTTATTTTAAAATACCAAATACTATACCTAATACCAATATTTTTTAAAACTTAAACCAAATACCAAAATATTGAATACCAAATATTAAAATTTTCGATTTCGATACGATAATTCAATATTTACCAAATTATACACCGTCCTTGATAGGTGCAGCTGCACAGCGAAATAACACAAACTAGCATGGACACATCCGTCATACAAAAAAAAACTGACGCTACCTAAAAATAATCTTATTTATTATTTCCTTTCTAATTTTCCAAAGGATGCAAATTAAATATAAAAAAATAACGACACGTGTGTCTCAATTATTAATCTAGTACTAGTACAACCCTAGAGAATTCTTCTATAATAAAGAGTGACACGTTCAGTACGTGTTCTACTCATCTTCAACAAACATCTTCAGTGATTTGAGTTTCTTCCTTAAACTGTAAAAATGGAAACTAAGCCTACAGAAATCAGCAGCTCCAAGATGTTTGGAGGTTACAACAAGAGATACAAACACTTCAGCCCAACACTTGGTTGTTCTATGAATTTCCACATCTTTTTCCCCCCTCCTACTTCCCCTTCTCACAAGTTCCCTGTAAGTTTTCCACTTTTTTATCCATTTTTTCAAGAACCCGTTTTTGAATTATCGATAAATTTATTAACAACCATCTTGGATTTATGGGTTTTAGTTGCAAAGTTTCATTTTTTAAAGCTCAATATTGGAGTAAGATGGGCCAAATGTGCCTGAATTGAACAGTATGATAGTAAATGATTTATGTGACTGACCTCTAGGATAATTCTTGCTGAATAGAATCATCTTTTAACTACCCATTGATTAATTAGCAGCTAGGATTTATGGGTTTTACTTGCAAAAATTCATTGCTCTTAATTTATATTCTCAGTCTTTTTGTTGCTTTCCTCCGGAGGGTCTTTCGGAAACAGTCTCTCTCCCTTCTTGAAGGTAGGGGTAAGGTCACATACTATCCTCCCCCAAATCCCACAAGATCCTCCCCAAATCCCACAAGACCCCACTTGTGGGATTACACCGATTCTGTTGTTGTTGTTGTTAGCCTTTTTGTTGCTTTGTTGCACTAGTCAATGTCTTTGATTGATCTCTTCTTGTTACCTTATCAAGTGAATTCTTTTGTTAGTCTGTTCTTTTTTCTTGTTTTTTTGTATTTCGTCCAAATTTTTCTGACGGGTTTTGACAGGAGATGTAGTTTAAGAAAGAAAGAAGGATTTTTACAGACAGTTGTGTTGTTATAAATCATCTTATTAATTGTAAAATGTGAATTTTAAAGTTAAATTGCTTCTCAATATGGAAATGTGTCATTCCTTTTGGATAGACGAAAAAGGAAAGTGTGTTGCATAAATTACGACATCGGTAGTAAGGTTTTTGCTAGTGTATTATTTAGCTCAGAATTGGACTGAAATGGGCTTAAATAGAATGGAATGATTATTAAATGATTTATGTGACCGACCCCAACTAGCTTGTATTGAGGCGTAGTTGATTGATTGAATGTGTTCTTGATCCATTCACTTGGAATCAGTTTGATGTTTGTTTTTCTCCATTTGTTAAGTGGTAGGAGTGTATTTACAATTATTTTATGTGGTGCTATGTTAGCTGATGCCACATTGATTTTGTTTCATTGATGGACCTGTTTTATGTTGGTTATGAGTGTAATCATATTGGTTAGCTATGTTTACGGATGTTGTATGGCTGCACCAATTTTTAGGTTCTTTACTGGCTCTCTGGCTTAACTTGCACGGACGAGAACTTTATAGCTAAATCTGGTGCTCAACGTGCTGCTTCAAATGAGGGTGTTGCGCTGATTGTTCCTGATACATCTCCAAGTGAGCTTCTTGGCTTATTTGAAGTGTTTATTGGCTTTTAAGCACTTTTCTAGTTTTTGTGGTGTTTGGCAATGATAAAAAGTGCTTAAAAGCACTTACGTTTAGGCATGAAAAGTACAAAAATAAGCCATTACCAACTTTTGGCTTTTGGTTTTTAGCTTATAAGCTACTTTTTAAAAGTCAATCCAAACACCCTCTAAATCACTATATGATAGAGGTCATTCATTTTCTAACACTAATATCTTTTAGATGATGCTATACTTTTATTTGTGATTGTCAATGAATACAAATTTAAAGTTCTTACCTGGTTATTACATGTTTTGAAGCTTGTCAAGGTAATACAGAATTTGACTATACATGAATACTCGGAAAAGAAAAAAAACAGAAGCATTACTTTTACTTAAAATGTAATGCATTTATCCTGCTATTAAAATTGACTTTTGTTATGTTAAAGTTCATAGTGGAGCATGAGCATCAATAAGCTGCACTTGACCTAGAAGAAGTGTGTGCTCCATCTCCCGCTCTTTGCTTAATTCCCATTGGGCTTTTTTTTGGGCGTTTTTCACCTTTTGATTTTCTTAAAACGTTGTAGTTAAACTTTCCACATAAACTGGGAGGACTGGGGGTTTTACAAAAGAAGTGCTTATTTCTCTTTAAAAAAAATGTTTATTTCTTTTCCCTATATTTCTTTAAAAAAAAAGAATCTTGGATATTGTTGAACAAATATTTGTCTAAATATGGATGTTCTGAGCTTATGCCTAAGAATGATGTAGTGCTTTGACCAGATTTGTTGCTTGTTGCATCTAAGCTGTTAGATGAACAAGTCAACAGGGAATCATATCCTATTGAGAAACCCATTTTATTTTGTGTTATAGTATGTTTAGTCAGATAAAATCTATTGGTGAAATGTAAATTTGGATCTTTGAGACCTACACTTTGTGCTAGTTAAGAAATTACATTTGTGAGGAACGGGATCATGCCATCCTAGTTTAGATGGTGGGGCCCAAGGGGTGGATTGTTGAGTATACACCATGTAGTCATATCACTTTTGTGCTGGAGTTCACCTGTCCTGAGCAGCAGACTATGTAATGAATCACAGAGCAGTAGATGTAGTCCTGTTGCAATTTAAACCTTATTAGTCAACTAGGCAAATCTTGAGTTAGGTGATGAGGCTGCAAGCTCTCATATATGTATGTGTGTGTGTAACTAAAACTTAGCCTTCTATGTGATGGTAATTATCTTAATCAAGCTATTCTTATTTCTTACTTTTGTACATATGGGCTATAAATCTAACTTGGTATTGCCTGTTCTTATTACAGGAGGCCTGAATGTGGAAGGAGAGTCAGACAGCTGGGACTTCGGTGTAGGTATGTGAAAAATATGTGTCCTTATCGATATATATAAATGATTGACAGGAAGTACATACTTATAAAGAGTTTGACATCTGACGACCACACGGACCATGTTGGAGTTTCAAGGCTTACCTTATGATATGTTTCTTCATGTCTGCTCTACATGTTTTCCATTGATGAATCAGTGATGGGGATAGTAATATGGACAATTTGATTTGTTCGCATATATTAGAACTCCCGCCAATATGATTTATATGCTTCCAAATCCTGTATTTTTCCCCTTCGTTCCCAAAGTTCAAGGGAAAAAAAAAAAAAAAAATACTACTAGAAACTAACAAGAACGGCTTGTCTTGGTGTGGACAGCTTTTGGCCTATATTGGTTATTGATGCCAACATCTCTCTTTGTGCCAAAATTTGTGGTTACTTAAACTAAAAGACCTCTAGAATCCTCACCTATAAGATCAAGCATGAAAATGCAATAGGATCACTTGTCATGATTCATGCAACTTCCACTTGTACTGATATTTTGATGTCATTGCATCTTGTAGCCTGTTGACCGAACTTTTCCTTTTCTTAATCAATTTCGTTACTCTTCTACTAAGGCTTAGGCTTGTTTACATCTTGTATTGTCTTTTCTGATGTACTTTTTTGTTCCCAATATGAACTTAACATTTGCAACCCGAAGAAGCTTGACTTGCGATATTATGTGTAACACTGGGAATAAAGGGTTCTAATTTCCTTAGAGAAAAGTGCCTCACATTTCCTTTTAAAATGCTGTTATGCTCCATTCGGGAAATAATGGTCAACCATACTATCCCTTAATTTTCTTACACTTGAATTACTTTTTCAGAAGGAATGGGTTATTTGCAGTGCCATCTAAGTTTATGATAACTCTTAGCTGAGATGCTTTGTCTAAATTTTCATAAGCTAAATTCGGCAACGTATGAGAAACTTCAAATTTATTTTTTGGAATAGGTGCTGGTTTCTATCTAAATGCTACACAAGAGAAATGGAAGAACTGGAGGATGTATGACTATGTGGTCAAGGAATTGCCGACACTTCTTCTTGAAAACTTTCCAGAACTTGATACATCACGCGCATCTATCTTCGGTCACTCTATGGGTGGGCATGGAGCGCTGACAGTGTACCTGAAAAACCTGGATAAATATAAGGTAGTTCTCTGTGAAAATTATGTCTCTACACATGAACTGAATTTTTGCCAGCAGCTGACTGATTTTATTTGCCGCTGAATCCTAAGGTTTGAAATTTTGAATATTTAAAGCTTCTTAAGACCTTTAGTTTTCATATGAATTCATGTGAGCATTCACACGTAGCATTTTGCTTGTTTTCTTTCCAGTCAGTATCTGCTTTTGCTCCTATTACAAATCCGATCAACTGTCCCTGGGGCCTGAAGGCTTTCACAAACTACTTGGGTGAAAATAAAGCTGATTGGGAGGTATGGTCTTCAAGTTTTGCTGCGTAAAATTAGACATTCTTGATGTGTCTTCATCTTATTGGGATGTTAAATTCTGAATATGCAGGAATATGATGCTACCTGTCTTGTATCAAGGTTTAACAATGTCTCTGCTACCATTCTTATTGATCAGGTACGGCTAAATCTCTAATATAACAGATGATTTTCTCGAATTGAGCCTTTGAGTAGTTTGTTGTTAAAATGTATCTCTATCTTCTATTTACAAAGTTATCAAGGGACATGAGCTTCCTGCAGTTGGTCATAGGCTTTAATGAGTACAATTGGGAATAGCATCTTGCTCAATTCTGTTGCGTGGAAGTCTTCCACCTTTACAAGTCTATTGAAAAAGAAAGGTCTTCCATGTCTATGTAGGACACCATTTGATGTATTATATAGTCTGCTCTCTGTTTGCAATAGTAGAATAGAATGATTCCTAGATAGCTCGTTATACGTCCTATATTTCCTATGAAGATATGACCTAACATACTTCTCAATTTATTTGAACTTCTGATTGTTTTATATTGTAGGGAGGGGATGACAAATTCTTGAAAGATCAATTGCTCCCACATAAATTTGAGGCGGCATGCAGAAAGGTTGGCGTTCCTTTGCTGGTGCGGTTGCAACCTGGTTATGATCACTCTTACTATTTCATTGCCACCTTCATTGATGATCACATTCGTCATCATGCCCAAGCCCTTAAGCTTTGATTTGGTTAAGCTTCTACTTCTGCTGAAGATTTTCTGGAAATGTAACGAGGGACAACTTAAGCAAGTTAATAGTGGTGCACTTTTCGTGTGGCAGGAAGTATGTTGAGGTACTTAATGAGTCTTTCCTGTTACTCTTGTTACAGTTTTTTCATTTGCTATAACTCATCAGTGGGCTGATGTAGTAGAGTTAATGATGTAGTATAAGTCTATCAAGTTTAGTGAATAGTGCAAATCCATCCTCTTAAAGCTTTAAAATTTTGATGTGGTCCAAGAACATCGAGTGCGGAACCAAAATGTGGTTCTTTTGGACTCAAAGAACCAAAATGCGTGGAAAAAACAATAGTGACCATAATATATATAACGCTCTAATATAAGGCGCTATACCTTAACGGCCGTTTGTCCGTTAAGGTATAGCGCCTTATATTAAGACGTTATATTTGAACTCAAACGAGCGGGAAGGTGTAGCGTCCTAACATAAGGCGCTATAGTATAACGCCTTCACGTAAGCTGCTATACTTACATAAATAATCGGTCCCTTCCCCTTCCCCAACAAAACAGAACGGGTCCCCTCCCATTAAAAAAAGAGAAACAGCGGTCCCCCCCACCATTGTTAACCAAAAAAAGCTCGAGTGGAGCCCACCGGTTTCACAAAAGTGTAGATTCTCGGTCCCACATCGTATCTAAGGTGTTATCTCGTAGTGGGTTGCTTGTTTCGACTCTAAATAACCAAATCTTCAACTTTTCAAAAACTTTAAATCGAGGTATTCCGACTTATTTTATGTTAAAACTCATGTATAAAAAATGCCTATTAGTTGTTTTTACTGTGTTGTATGTTATTTCGTGATTGTTTTACGATATAATTAATTTGTTATTTTTTGTCTGGATTATATTATTAGTGTGCTAAAAAATTAGTAAAATAGAGAAATTGTTATTAGTTGTTAAAAAAATGTTAATTGGTTACTTTTTATTGTGGTATATATTTTTTCGTGATTATTTTGTGATTAAATTAATTTGTTGTTTTTATCCAGTTTAGACTATTTATTTGCTAAAAGATTAGTAAAATAGATAAATTGTTATTTTAGGAATATTTAGATGTTATTGTTGTACATATATTAATATGTGACTTTAGTTCCCTGTAGTGGTATCTTGTGCCCTAATGTAGTGCTCGTATTTGTAATATAGTGCCCTTTTAGCGTAGTAAAATGTAGTGCCTTTAGCGTAGTATCTTTGTAGTTATTGAAATTAATTATTTAATTATCTGTTAAACCCAAAAATATCTGAAAAAGCTGATAGTTCAAACACAATTCTAGTCAACAAACGTAAGAAAATAACATGAGAAAACAACAATATTTGTCAAACTAAGTATTGTTATATGAATATTTAATAATTAAATCAATAATTAATTATTTAATTTTATTATAGTCAAAAATAGGTGAGTAACAAACAAACATATGAAATAATCAACTAACATATAAAATAACAGACCTGTTGAGTGGTAAAGTGGGGAAAGTTTCTCATCATGAACACAAGAACATTGGATTCCTTGGTGCTACTGGGCCTCAAATATCGAGTCCGGAACCAAAATATGATTTATTTGGACTCAAACTAAGTATTGTTATATGAATATTTAATAATTAAATCCTGTATAGTTATGAGACTTAATTATTTAATTTTATTATAGTAAAAAATAGGTGAGTAACAAACAAACATATAAAATAATAAACTAACATATAAAATATAAAATTATAATATAGAAAATGTATCAACCTAATTAACAATATAGTAAAAATATCGAATAAATTTTAATATTAAAGATATTACAATATATTTAAAGATGTTAAGCAATGAAAAAGAAAAATACTTTAGTTAATATTGTTCAATTTACAGTAGTCGTCATGGAGGTTCCGCATGTACATCCCGGACCTGCCTCGCTAGAGCTACTGTTGCTACAGGCCGAGCATAGGTTTTCATACATATGGGAGGGGCAGTTATTGGCCCAGACGTTCCGTGCTAGACGAGTAGACGATATGTGAGACTTTCTCCTGGCCCACCATCTCCATTCCCCGTATAATCAGACGCCTTCAGGATATAGGTTTCTATAGGATTATTGAGATCGGCCGGTTGCAGCTGGATTGGTCGTTGATCACGGCTTTGATAGAGCGGGCGACCGGAGACGCACACATTTCATTTACCCATTGGCGTGGCTACTATCACGTTTCAGGACGTGGAGGTTCTATATGGGCTGCCGGTTGATGGCCATCCTTTAGCTTTACCGCATGCTATCAGAGATTATACGGGAGTGCAGTACCTGGAGATGTTGCAGCGGCTCACCGGTTTCCAGCCAGCGCATGATACTGCATTGAGTGGGGCTAGTCGTCTGCAGTTGACGCCCGTCCGGCTGCATGTGAAGGCGATGCATGTGGACATTACAGATGATACACCGGATCTTCATATTAACCGGTACACGAGATTGTTGATGCTGCTTATGTTTGGAGGGGTATTGTTCCCGAACACTTCGAGAAACCTAGTCAGCTTGAGATTTCTTCATTATCTTGAGTAGCTAGATGATTTACCTGGTTACAGCTGGGGTGCAGCAGTTCTTGGTTACTTGTACATGCAGATGTACCGGGCTAGCATGGGCACCCAGCGCGACGTTGCCGGATTTTTGCCGCTGCTGCAGGTGAAAACATAGTCAATTATTTTCATGATTATAACATACATAGTGAAAATATACCTTACATTTTACGTCCAAATTGTATATTAGGTTTGGGCCTGGGAGCGGTTCCTGCAGTTGCAACCACCTCTACCACCCATCGCTCCGAGTGCACCACCTCCACCGTTTCTCCCTTTAGCTAGGAGGTGGGTTGATAGGCGAGGCTACGAACGCGAGTTCCAGGCTCGACATAATCTCCCCTATTGCAGGGATTTGTTGGATTTACTAGAGGCTGCACAGGTAAATGTATACTTAACTTTACTTGGCCTAGCTTTATATGTGTTGCGTATTCTCACGATTCATGTTTTTACTTAATAGTTCATTTGGAGGCCATACAACGACGAGTTAATAGCTGGTTTGCCCGATTATTGCTCGACCGACCGACTTATGTGGAGCTCTTCCGTCCCGTTGATATGTCTCAATATTATCGAGTATCATGCCACCGAGCGAGTCCTTTGCCAGTTTGGTCGACCGCAGCTTGTACCTACTCCGCCCGTTTGGCTTAGGACACATTACCAGCGGGATGAGCGTTCCAGGGTTGACCAGACATAGATGGCCTGGCTAGAGGCGCAGATCGAGATTTGGGACCAGTGGCATGACCTTATTCCGCCACCCCATACACCTGAGTGTACGGATGGTGAGCATGAGTATATGGGTTGGTACCGCAGCGTTACCCGAATTTTCGTCGGGAATCCCGTTCATCAAGCTGCCGATCGGTACGTTCCATACGCCGGGAGGCATGAGGCACTGGTATGTTATTTGGTATACTTACTTGTAACGTTAACCTAGCGTTCCATAATTAATATTTTACATGTTGTGCAGGCTATCGGCCTACATCTGTTCTACCAGTTGGGACCGCAGATGCAGCAGCATACCGACAAAGAAGCGACCGCTTTGCACGAGTATGGCTGGCAGGTTACAGATCTGGCTTCCCAGACATTGAGGCGAGCCCTAGATGATGAACGCTTAGGATACAAGGCTGATTATGTGGCGCCAGAGCAGTACCATCGTGGGCCAGCAGTGGAGCCTGAACGTGGTCGACGTGGCAGGCGTGCCTAGAGGTAGGGGTGTCCCACGAGGTCGTGGGGGTTGGCGAGAAGTTGATCCTCAGCAAGGGGGCGTTGAGGCACTTGTTGAGGATGTTGGAGTTGATCAGTCGGGTGACCACCCTGAGCCAGACCATGCTCCTAGTGATTTGTCGTCATTCAGCCTACAGCTTACTCCAAGGACTTCGCAGGTGACCCCGTCAGCTCCATTATTGATCACGGGCACGGCCATTACGCGACAGGAGTGGGATCAGTATTTTCCTGGTCCTCCAGAGTCATCGACGGTTGCTGATGATCGTCCGACACGAGATGTGGATAGCGGGCGCCGACTAAGTTATGGCTCATCATCGAGGGATGCTGAGGATCTTTCACAGGATTTGGTTAGCTTGTATTACTATTATTTATATTTGTTTTTATCTCATTGATTAGTCATAAATATCTAAAGCGTTTTTTTAAGGCATCATCCTCGCTCGTCACGGAGGCCACTTGTGCGATACTGACATGTCTGAGACAGATGATTATATTCAGGAGCCCGCCGAGACCATGGTAAGACAATTTAAATTTTTTGACTTAACACGTACATTACTAATATATATTTCATATACTAAAATATCTTATTATTCTGTAGGTTACTGCTGGACCGACGACCCATTCTACCGATCCTGCCAGCCTTACTGACAATCATGCTGCAGCGCATCCTCTGGTAAAAAGACGACGTGATGAGGATGATCCTGATAGTGTAGCCGGGCGGGATGGGATGCGCATCAGGCCAGCCAATACTTTAAAGCATACAGGTTGTGGGACACATTGACTTTTTTTTCATTTTTTGTACATATGACATTCAGTAAATAATAGCAATATTATTTATGGTTTACATTATATATGCATTATGTTTTTATTTCTCGGGTTCTTTGTTATTTTGATACTACAACACAAGAACAAACATAGCAACTTAACATAATTTAAATTTGATACAACTAATGAAAATACATGACACGGAAAAACATAAAGATAAAAAACTACACTCAACACATATATGTGTTTGTGTAGTCACTATCGCCCATTATTCTCTGCTTCAACCACTTAAATTTCTCTTCCAACCTATTTTTTTCTTCTTCCGCTTCTTTTAGTTTCTCCTTCACTACCGCAAGTTGTTGTTGTAGTTTAAAGATCTGGAGTTCGAATTCACCGGTCATATTCCAAACATAGTGCAAACAATGTTTGTAGTATTCCTAGTAAATGGGTTCATCATACCATTCTTCAAATCTACATTGATTTTCGTCCTACAAATGGGGATTATAACACAACACTATTAATTAACATGTTATATAAAGAATATTAAGAAACATATTTTCCAAAATAATAACTTACAAGTTGTTGACATATCCAGCGTCTGCGCCCCACATTACTATTTGACCAACATGGCTTCAAAATCGCACGTTTGCCACAATAACACCTTGGTACGTCATTGCGTCCAGACATTTCGTCATGCAAGAAAAATGAAAAAAATATGGAAAGTTTAACTATTTGTTTTTGTTAAGCGCAAATAATAACTAAAATGTGCTACGCTTTTATAGGCAAGAAAAAACACATAAAGTGGTATTTCACCGCGCTATGTTTCGCATGATAATGATTCTTTAGGGTACAATACAGCTTTTCCAGAAGATAGCTTTTGCAGAACAACATCTTTTTCAGGTCGACAAGACAATACACATAACGTGGTATTTCATCGCGTTATGTTTCGCGTGATAATGAATCTTTAGGGTACAATACAACCTTTCCAGAACGACAGTTTTTTCAGGTCGACAAGACAATACACATAATGTATATTGGTGGCGTGCTATGCTTCGCGTGATAATGATTTTTTCGGGTATAAGACAACTTCTTAAACTGAACCAAGTCATCTGTATTCAAAGATCATTTGAATAAACATTACAACATCCATTTAAAAAATGCCACTAACATTTAACAAGTGGTTCAAAAAGAGGCAAAAAGGTGAAGGTAGTTAAACAGATGCCCATGGAACACGTCTTAACACTATCGATCCCTACCTTGAAAAAAATATGCTAGGTTGCTACACTGACTTGGTTGATGACAAGTGGTGTGGTGTTCTGCGTACCTTGGAAAATAAGCCTATCAATATACGCACTGATCTCAAAGTTGTGGGGCACATTATTGAGGGCGAAACACATTCTACAAAGCCTGAAGGTATGCGAATTTGGGGCGAAAAACTACAATGGGTTCCCCTTTACTCAAAACGGTGTGATTAGGAAGTACTATGTCGTTGGCATGGGCTTGTTGTGCCACAAGCACTGTCTGCAACCTTCCAAACAAACACACACAAAGATGAACCAGAAGTGATTCGGCATTTGATGAAAGAGATTCTAGAGATGGAAAAGGCACTAGATGTTCATCATGCAATGGATGATCTTAACTTACTGGGAGGAACGGAAGATCAGTACTGGGATTTATTAGAAAATAATAAATTACATAGAGACAATGATTATCCTATTTTCCCAACAGTTGTCGAGTGGGAGGGACTACCTAAGTTTCTATCACAGACGTTGGACGTAGGAGTCCCATATTATTGTAGAAATCAAGCAAGTGGTCTTCTTGATGATAGCGATCAAATGCGAGAAATGTGTGTCAACTAGGGCCTAGATTATGATGTCCTCGGTCCCGAAGGGTACGTACACGATGTTGACGAAGAAGATGAAGATAGTGAAAATTAAATAATGCCAGACATCGACGATAATGGCGAATGACAATTGTTTTTTTTTCTTGGGGTGTTTGTTAAATTATTGTACTGAAGTATTAATGCTAAATATCAATAAGACTTAACACCAATGGAAACATAATTTTATTTCATACATTCTGCAAGATGAACATGTACATATACTTATTACAACAAATTATTGAAATAAAATACTATGGGTATCCTTGATAATTGGGCACACTGGATGAACTTTCACCGGGAGCTGGATTACCACCGCTACCCAAACCAGCTGAAGGACATTTACGACGATCGTGTCCTGTTTGCGAGAATATGCCACATTTCCCCGTATAAACGGTATCACCAACATCCATTTGATTCTGTATACGCGTTCTTTTTTGCACTTGTCGTTGACGCAAATACTCCTTGTTACACACCATTTTAAATGGTTCCGGCGGCCAATAATGCTCAGAACCCACTGGCTGCAACTGTCCATTATATGTGTTTAAGTATGCAGCAACACTATATTCTTTATTAACGTAGCTGGTTGCCGCGAAACCTATATATTGAAAGCACCCCATGGCATGTGAGCACGACATGTGGTAGATGGACCATTTCCTACAAGAGCATAACCTTCTGGCTTCATTTACGATGTGTGTATTATTCTCCTGATTTTGATGGATAGCGGTGCGAACTTCAAAAATATTTCGCTCGTTGCAATACTATAAATATGAATACCAATGTGCTCGCCTCTTGTATTTCTAAAATCTTTTCATTGGTATTGGCATAAATTCAACACCCTTTTCCATCAATGACGATGCACCTCTAGCCCTTTCAACAAACCTCTCTGCCATCTGCTTGAATGACATCCGCATCATGGCAGTGACAGGCAATCCACGTGCAGATTTCAATAACCCGTTGAAAGACTCTGACACATTTGTAGTCAGAATTCTCCATCTTCTACCACCATACGCATGTAAAGTCCACTTGTCAAGCTCATGTCGCATCAACCAATGATAGGATCTTTGGTCTTCCTGCCTGATCAATTCCATGCACCTCCTGAATTTACACTCTTGGTGATCTATTGCAACCATCCACATTAAATCATGCAAATCCTTGTTGGGATGTGCCTTCTGGAAATTGACCTTCAAGTGCCTCACACAGTAACGATGGTGGGTATACGGTTCCTGCCATGCAGGCAAATTCTGTACATAACTTAAAATACCGCCATACCGATTAGATATTAGACAAATACATGAACGTTGTCTGACAACGTGCTCCTTCAAGTGGTTCAAAAATAGTGTCCACGTCTCTTGGCTTTCATTGGCACAAATAGCAAAAGTTAGGGGAAATATACTTCCATTAGCATCTACTGCAACGACGATCAATAACTTAGTATCATACTTTCCATAGACATGAGTGTCGTCTATGGATATTACCGGCCGGCAATGCACAAAACCATGTGCTGGTTTAAATACCTAGAACACATATCTGAATATACATTCTGGTATTCCCGGACTCCGCTCAAGCTTCCATTCAACAACAGTTCCGGGGTTAAAGTGTTGCAATGTGACTATGTACCTGGGTAGAGATGCAAAGGACTTATCCCAGTTACCATAAACAATTTCAAACGCACGTTTGCGCCCGAGAAAAGCCTTTCTTTTGGTAATGGTACACCCATATTTCTGGTAGACAGATGTTATACACTCTTTGATCTTGTACCTTATGAACGCTTCAATGTGTGGAATCAAGACAAGAGAAATCAAGTCAACATTCAAGTTAAAATGATTCCCACTAAATGTGTCCATTTCACAATTGTGGGTGCCATTGTATTTACCCATAACCCACATATTTGTTTTCTTCTTCCTCGTACGCAGCATCCAATTACAACCCGTAAACCATCTACGGCAAATAACCTTGTATACATCCGGAGATGAATCTGCTACAATAATCTCACCACACTCTTTTATGATGTACATTCACACCGCCCTGCTTATGCGCGCTTTATCAGGAAAAAGCATGCCCTTTGACAGCACCGTGGCTCTAGATTCATCACACATTGTTGTCCGAATTTCGTCAATATCCCTTGTGATGGCATCCATATCCGGCATACTTGGAAAATGGTCAAGGCAAGGAGTCTCCCTTGAATGAAACGACACGTGGGACTCGTACACTCTTGGTGTAACGGGAGGTGGAGCATATTCCCTTGTCAAATCAGGTTCAATATTCTCTTCCTCCTCATCATCACCCTCATCAGGGAAGGGTGTGTCATCTCCAGACTCATCGACATTGATGTCATAATCACTATTCTCTTCCTGACTCTGCGCATTTGCTAGATCCCGATTAAATATGTCGTCTTCGGGCAATTGAGTAAGGACAAGATTGCCCGTTTTCACTGCACAACCAATAAAATAATGAGTTACTCAAATTGATCCAAACTTTACATATAGCTTTACCACTTCACTTTACCACTTCACTTATAAATCATAATGTGTTGATATCCCATGATGGACATTATCCTATTGATGATGACTCCCGGATGGACCACAATGATCCAACACACCAAAACTAGGCATATTTCAAGTGGGCGTTGGTTCATAACTTGTAAATTTCATATCTGGCTGGTACGCCTTGTGGATATATGAGTGTTAATACAAATTCAATACATAAAAATAAACATCTTAACACAAAGGAAAATTGAAGTTTACCACTCGGCTTGTGGATCATGTAAATTAGGAGATAAATTATTTCCTCGCTCCTCATTCGCCCGTGGAGATAAGTTTAGATCATGCCAACCTCTTTCACTCGGAACCTGTTCGGCTAAAACTGCTCCAAAATAACCACTCGATGATTGACGGATATCACTACTTTGCGCAATCTCATTATTGCGAACGTCTTCAGCATTGACGTATATTTCTAACAGTTTTATCACAAGAAATTCCTGATATTCATCCGGAGTCCTCAAAAAATCTCTCAGAGTTTCATTGTCTTCGATGTTAAACTCAACATAACAAGCAACCCCTTATGGAGTGACAAAATACGGATATCTTGCGGTTACTTTAATATTCACCGAACGTTTGCTCACACTCATTATTTTTACATAACAACGATACCAATGTATCGTACTCCATTGTAAATGGCAACTTAACATGACACTGTGGAGATAAACTACAGCTTGCTGAGTTATTCGCCACCACAACCTCACCCCCCCAAAATAATGAAACCTTAATTCTTCGCTCTTCAGACATTATGACAAAATGCAAAATAACTTAAAGAGAAAATATTTCAGAAGACTTGAAAATATTTATGAATGGATTTTTACGAAATTCTTAACCTCTTTAAATAAGGAAAAAACCAGTCTGGGGGTACAATTATTTGAGGTATAGTGCCTTAAATATGGGCGCTATACCCAGTTGAATTATTGTTATGTCAGTTAAGCCCAGAAGAATTATTGGTGGGCCCACATAATATATATAGCGCTGTATGTTAGGGCTTTATATATGTAGCGCCTTATATTAGGGCGCTATACCATAACGGACAAATGGTCGTTATGATATAGCGCCTTATATTAGGGCGTTATATATATTATGGTTACCAGTTTTTCCCCCCACACATTTTGGTTCTTTGAGTCCAAAAGAACCACATTTTGGTTCTGCACTCCAAGAACATCCACTCTCCTGAAGATTCAGTCATAAAGTCTATCTGAAGTGCGTTATTCAAGAAACTGCTCTGAGTTTTAGCAAAAGCGACAACAACATAATGAGTATGAATAAGATCTTTTTCGATCTTACCGTCTATTATGAATAGGGGTGGCAAACGGGCGGGTCAGGTCGGATATGATCGGGTCGAAAACGGGTAATTCAAAAAATTGATAAATTATGTGACCCGACCCGTATTTGAGACGGATAAAAAATGGATTATCCAGCGGATAATATGAATGTCCATATTATCCATAACTTCTTGAATATGATCACTTATGGGAGAATTCTTAGTCTCCCAAACTTGAGGAACCCCCAATTTGAGGCTTTATAAATGTAAAAGTTAAACACATTAGTTATCCATTTGGTTAACCATTTTCTAAGTGGATAATATGATTCTTATCCATATTCGACCCGTTTTTAAAAAGTCCATTATCCAACCCATTTTTTAACGGATAATATGGATGGATAATTGTTTCCTTTTAACCATTTTGTCACCTCTAATTATGATTCAATTTTCCTTAATTTTATGTTAGGATGTTGCTGCGAAATTTTATTTTCAGCTTGTCTAAATATGGATACATTTTTTTCTAGCAATTATTACAACCAAAATTTGATAACATTTTAAATCACTTCAATCTAACACGGACTCTAGGGGAACAAAAAAAGTAGTAAGCATTTACTAACACCACTAAATGGTGTTATGAAATGGTAAAAGCTTCTTTTAACTAGAAATCTCGAATTCGAGTTACGGGACTGAAATCATATTTGTAGGAGAATTGGAAACCCCCCATAGTAGGCTTCCACGGTGCAAACTCAAATTAGTCGGGTAGTAAGGTCCGAACACTAGATGATGACACAAAAAGAAAAACTTTGCACGATAAAAATGTGTGCCCTACTTCAAAAAGGAGTTCAAAGCTAGCTGGAACAACCGTTTGTAGCGTGAGTTACAAATCGTCAAAGCATTGTGTCATGGCCCGCTATATCATCATGCCACGTAGGTGCCACTTGGAATGTATTTTTTACATATGGAAAGCTTACATATGAAATAGACTAGCACATGTGGGAAGGTTCTAGAGAAATATAGAGATTTCTCATGGAAGACCTTAGAACCCTATGGAATTGCTAGGAAAGTCCTTAGAAGATTCTAGCTATGTAGAAAATTATAGAGAAAGGACGTACTTGTAAATAATAAGGGCCTTGTGTAATAATTTTTATTCACTCACTAGCCCCTAGGAGACTAGTATATAGAAGGGGATATTCATTTATAACTCATCAAACAAAACAATCAAGTTCTCTCTAATACAAAAGTTTCCTTTGACAATTCTCTTGTGTTTTAACATTCCCTTAGCGATCTTGAGTGTAGTAAGGTTGACTTGGCATAGCAAGAATATGAGCAAGTTGTTCAAGATCGTGGGCGGGTTGTCAAGTGTCGCACGTGCGCTTAGTTTGAGACTAAGGACGTGACAACGTGGTATCAGAGCAAAGGTTGCAACTAAGGGAATGGCGAACGATGGAGAAATTAACGCTGCCAACACCCAAGCCAACATCATCCAGGATGCTGCTGGCAAGAACGACCGTAACAAAAAGAGGAATTCCACCAACAAGAGCTAGGAGGTGCCGCTCGAGGTTGTGCCAAATGAGGGGCTTATATGGCAAGAACCATCTTCCACTGTGGCAAGCGAGGATGAAGTAGAGGTCCTGCCGGAGGACATATCGCTCGGTAAAGAGTGGGTGATGAAGGTGAACGAGGGGATGGACGCCGTCGAGATCTTTGGCCAACGCTGGGGAAGATGGAAGGCACCCTTAGCGTTTTTTAGGGACACACTCTTGAGGAGATTGAGAGTATCCGAAATGACTTGGAGGGGCGCACGCTGACCGAGATGGAGCTAAGACAAACTATCACTACCTTGGAGTGCAGAATCATGGAGGCGCTGAGCACTATCGATGCCATGAAGGCTAAGATAAAGGCACTCGGGGAGCGTATCGATGCTGGCGTGACTGAGGCAGACAATAATGTTGTTGTGACGAGGGAGAACAAGATCAAGGCTCCCAAACCGCCGGTGTTCAAAGGTGTTCGTGGTGCACAAGAAGTGGAGAATTTCTTTTGGAACTTGGAGAACTACTTCAGGCACGGCAAAGTGAAAAACGATGAGGCCAAGATCAACACTGTTGTGTTGTACCTCTCAGAGATTGCCGCGTTGTGGTGGCGTCGAAAGTGTGTTGACATGGAGAAAGGGCTATGCAAGATTGAGACGTGGGAACAGTTCAAGAAGAAGTTGAAGAAGCAATTCTACCTGGTAAATGTGGTGTATGAGGCTAGGCAGAAGTTAAGGGAGCTCCGACAAACGGCCACAATTCGGGAGTATGTGCGCAAGTTCACTACCTTGATGTTGCAAATCCTATCATTGTCCGAGTAAGATTCCCTCTCTCTAATACAAAAGTTTCCTTTGACAATTCTCTTGTGTTTTAACATTCCCTCAGCGATCTTGAGTGTAGTAAGGCTGGCTTGGCATAGCAAGAGCATGAGCAAGTTGTTCAAGATCGTGAGCGAGTTGTCAAGTGTCGCACGTGCGCTTAATTTGAGACTAAGGACGTGACAATTGGCTTTAAATGTTAAGTACTTGGAGCAATGTGATGATAATGACCACAGTGCATATGAGAAGCATGAGTATGCAATAGATGATCAATATCATCTTAAAGAAGCAAACGGACTAATGGTTACAACTATAACCCTATGAACATCAAGAATTCTTCTTTTAATGGCTCTATAAGATCATTTCTTGTGATTACATTGTCAACAAAAATGTCCTCCAGGAGAAAATTTTGCCAACTATTGGCTGATTGCATTAACTTTTACTATTTAACAAAAAAAAGTACAAATGAGTGCCTACTGTACATCACCATGCTTCAAGTATAGTAACCAAGAAGTCTCGTGCTCGGAGTCCTATGAATATTCTGTACAACCAATATACAATTCTGCACTTCCTCCTCATTCTGCTACTGCGTTTTTCCAGCAGAACGGGTTTCTGCTGTCCAAGCCTGCACTTGAATCCCTCAGGGAAGAAAGACTCGGTAGCTCAACAAAAAATAAGACATAATAACGCATTTGTCATACTATCAGCCAGCTAACAGATTATTATGTCTTAATGCTTCTTCCTCAGCTCCTGCTCTCCCACCACTGGTGCTGATATCCGACATAGAATAGTTATGGTTCCCCTCTCGGGTCGTAGGAGGGGTGGCAGTAAATGCTGATTCAAGGTTCTCGTTGACGCTCTTAGTTGGCCTCTTCAGTCTTTTTGGCCTTTGTTGCATGTCAATGTTTTGTGGGGAGCCATCTATATCATCTTCCATCAGTGAGTTGGGTGATAATGATTCAAGATTTTTTGGATTCTTTTGAGGCCTCGATTTTGGGGTTTGCTTGTCGGTGGAGCCTTTCCTCTGCACATATAAGATTATGAATCAAGTCAAATTGAAAATTTTACTATGCAGTCGAGCTTGTTCATTGTGCAACAAGAAGAAGCTAAGGCAATTATTTTGAAATGAGTGTACTAGTATAACTTAGCCATTATATGCAGCAACTATAAACCGGGAGGTAACTTTAGGGAGTCAAAACTGTGAAATGCAGGAAAGAGTAACTAGACAACCTAAGTCCGTGAAAAGGTCAATATCAGAAACAATATTTGCATCTGAGAAGTAATCACCTTTTTACTACTTGATTTTGCTTTCCAGGGATCAAGAGTGTCATCCCCATTCCCAACAGATTCACCGTTTGTAAGATCTCCTTAGTTTGACCCAGCCTATGAGCTCTATCCATTGCCTGTAAATCTAAAGTTGGATTCCAGTCACTCTCATAGAAGATGACAGTGTCAGCAGCTGTCAAGTTGATACCAAGGCCCCAACTCTTGTACTCAGCAAGAACACAAAAATGTCGCTCCTATGAGGAAATCAACATTAGTCAGTACAAATATTAAAAAATGGATTATAAGTTCCTTCGAATTCAAAACATACCGATGCTGGAAATCTTTGACCATGTCTCGTCTATCCATTATAGTGGAAGATCCATCAAGCCTCAAGTACTTATATTTCCTGTAGTGCACGTAGTCCTTCAAAACAAGTGAAAATATTAGCAATCTCACAAGTGAAGAGTTGCTTTAGCATTGCAATTTTAGATCCATTACAAATGAAAACTTTCCTAGTCATGGGGTTATGTTGCAGTAGAAAACATACTCTGGTCTTTGCAAACTGAGTCCAATATAAGATGAATGAAGCAAATAGAGAAACCAATACAAGAGTCTCAACAACAGCTTCATATAACTTTTTCTTTAAGGCTTAACTTCATATAATAAGAACTATGAAGCATAAAGCATAGTTGTTAATGTTGTTATTATTGTTGTATGCTTAGCTTCACATAGTATGCTCAAGAAACTACTCCATGATTCAATCTAACCTAAGCTTGGTAGGAGTTAGAACGTCAAAAGAAAGCAACACTCAGAACTCATTGTTTATGCATAGGCGGGTCTAAGTATCTGTTATAAAACAGTTCTTCCAAGATGAGCTACAAACCTCTCCCACGCATTGATGGCGGAAGAGAACCTGTACTAAAAAGCACCAAAACACGGGAAAAGGTACTACATGACAAACATTATAGCAGTGCTTAATTTAGCAGCACATGGTTATTTTCGATCAATTTAATAGCTTCACAAAAGTTCTACATGCAAGCTGCATTTTGCATTTATACCAGCTATGGTTAGTGAACCAAAGCATGGCTGAGACTACCAGTAAACTTGCTTTCCCTCAGTCTCACTCTTTTCAACTCTCCAAAGCTAAAACCAAATACAAACATACAGTTGCATAGGCAGAGAAACTGCCACTGCTACTAGCATCATAGGATTACAAAAAGACAAATCTAAACCACCAAGGAGCAACAGAAAGATTCAAATACCTCTATAATATCCAACATTTTTGTCATTTGTGCAAAGAGAAGAACACGGTGATTCCCTGCCCGCAAGCGCTTTAATAATACGTCAAGTGTTTGAAGCTTCCCTGAGTCCTGTAATTACATAGGACATTTAGATACTGTATGTGCTTAAAGGCACATAGATGTATTAAAGAGGAAAGGAAAAGAGAAGGAATACATCATGGAAAAGATAACACACTGTTAGCATCTTTGCAGGGTCAAATGGTTGCACGGGTGGACATGACCCGAATATTTTGTATGTAAGCTGAAGAGCAGGTTGTGAGACAGGTAATTCAGAGTCTATCTCTTGTATTAAATGGTGTGTGACACCTGGCTTCCTAGGACCATTATATTCCGATGTGTGTGCAAACCCAACCAACAACCTCTTAACCCATGGATGGTGTAGTTCCTATTGCGGAACCCAAATATATATAGTGTGAATGAGTCACAATTATTATACCAAAAATTATGACAACCACTAAATAATAAATAAGATAATAAGACAACAATAAAAGAACACCAGAATTTACGAGGTTCGGCCAATTTTGCCTACTTCCTCGGACACAATTAATATTTTATTCCACTCCAAAATTACAAGTAAAATAATACTAAAGAGAGAAGATACAAATGCCTTGAGAAGATAAAAGGGCAAATGAGAGGTGTGTTTAAATCCTAAACATTAGGCCTCCTTTTATAGGGTGAAATTCCCATTCAAAAGTATCATCTACCGATGTGGGACTTTTGACAATTTCAACAAATCTCCACCTTGGCAAAATTCCACATCTTCAATTTTCTCTCAATAACAAATTTTGGTTGTGTCTTCATCTTCAATCTTTAGTGTTCAACAATGTTGATCAAATCCAAACAATGTTGAAACTTGACCGCAGTCACCACTTTTGTCAGCATATCAGCAGGGTTCTCCGTAGTATGAATTTTCTTCACCGTGACTCCACCTTCTTCTATGATTTCTCGTACGAAATGATACCGAACATCAATGTGCTTCGTCCTTGCATGATAAACTTGGTTCTTCGCTAATTGAATAGCACTTTGACTATCACAAAAAATTGTAATATTTTTTTGTTCAATACCAAGCTCCTTTAGCAACCCCTGAAGCCAAATTGCCTCCTTCACAGCCTCTGTAATAGCCATGTACTCTGCCTCTGTTGTAGACAAAGCAACTGTTGACTGCAAAGTAGACTTCCAACTAACTGGTGCCTTTGCAAAAGTAAACACATAACCAGTAGTTGACCTTCGTTTGTCCAGATCACCCGCAAAATCTGAGTCACAATATCCAACTACAGACCGATTGCCTTCCTGCTCAAAAACTAACCCAACATCTACAGTACTATGAATATACCGTAGAATCCATTTCACAGCTTGCCAATGCTCCTTTCCTGGATTATGCATATATCTGCTAATAACTCCAACGGCTTGTGAAATGTCAGGTCTCGTACAAACCATTGCATACATCAAGCTACCAACAACATTTGCGTATGGTACCCTTGACATATACTCCTGTTCAGTTTCATCCTTTGGCGACATAGTAGTACTTACCTTAAAATGGGGAGCAAGTGGCGTACTAATTGGCTTAGTCTTCTTATCTATGCCAAAACGCTG